CAAGAGCACAATATGCTGTCCTTAAAATTCAAAGTAAAATCTCATTCTGGATTTCTAGGTCAAGCAACAAGAACCAAAGAACCAGAGTTTTTGGTAACATTCAGACAAAACTACAGTGATGCTCAGTATGGTAGTTCATTCCTATAATCCCAACTCTTGAGGAGGCAGAGATCAAGAGAATCCCGAAAGTCAGTCTTAACAAAAAGTTTACCCTGACTCCACCTCATTTGCTGGAGTCGTGGAACACATCTATCATCTCCAAGCACAAACACCAAGACCCTATCTGAAAAATATCCTAAAAGCCAATAAATAAATAAATTTTTAAAAATAAAAGTAGATGAAACTATACTGAATTTACCTTCACTTTCCATTTCCTGACTCTCAAACATTTAAAAAAGTTTTAATTAAAAAAAATAATAATAAAAAGAGAGCCGGCTACCAGTGGCTCAAGCCTGTAATCCTAGCTACTTGGGAGGCTGAGATCTGGAGGATCACAGTTCCAGGCCAGTCCTGACAAACAGTTCATAAGACCCCCCATCTCCAAAATAACCAGAGCAAACGTGATCAGAGGTGTAGCTCAAGTGGTAGAGCGCTTGCTTTGCAAGTGTGAAGCCTTGAGTTCAAATCCCAGTCCCATCAAAATAAAAAGAAAATAGAACTAGAGAAAAAAATTCAAGTTCACAGTCAACAATGAAATATACAGCTAAATAAAAGCTTGTAGAAAGTAATTTTTATTAAGAACCACCATCATTTGCCACACACTATGCTATCCACTGGAGAAACAATTTTTTAATTTTTAAATAAATTCTCCCTCAGGAGGATTCTTGGCACAAAGGTTTAAAGTCTTCACATACAATCTTAATTTTTTTCTTATAGACTATTCAAATTTGTTTTCATTCATAAATATGAACTGTGCTCTCTGGTGAAGCAAATTTCCTCATACTGTCTTGCACTTTGGTTTTACCTTTAACATCAAAAACAAGAAAAAACTCAACACATAAAGAAAAAATATCTATTAGAGCCCTTTTGGAGTCTAAGCTTTCTGGTAAATCACAGCTATTGGCTTAGTTTCTCCTGTATCACTTTACCGTATTATCCTAAAAGACAGGCAAAAGTCACAAGCACAGAAACAAATCCCAGAGTACATCTCATCACCAATTAGTTTTAAAGTAGTTTCCTCTGCCCTTTTTCTCCATTTTAAATAAGTTTCTACTTTGTTATACTGTTCTAGTTCTCAGGAAGCATATTTTACATCAGGGCCCTTTGCTTGCTTACTTCATGCAGAACTACAGTGCAGGTGTCTCAAATAAAATGGCCCCAAACACCTGGCCTGCTTACTGTGCCAGTGTAAAGACTTGGATCATGTTCTGTTCTTAAAATAGAATTTTGTTTTTTAGAAATCTGTAAGGACTTCTTTTTGAATCTTCATGTTATTTCTTAAGATGTATATTTAAATTATAGTTTCTAACCTAATAAACTATGTATTAGCCTCTGGGCACACTAAAAGCTGTGCAAAAATATTCCTGCCAGAGTATACTAATTCATAACACAAAGCAGGACCTTCTCATCTGTACTTCCCATTCCGGAAATGTGATCTGAAAACTCAGGTGAACCACAAAAAGAATATACTACACAACATTTGAAGGCTATCAAAACAGATAGGAAGTAATATCCTTGGGTATTACTTGCATATTGAGTGGAGAACTATGGGTCATAGGAAAAGACCAGAATGCACATTTGGGAAGGTAACTACTAATTATCATCACCATATACTTAGTGTATACTATTCCTCCCCTTCCAGACTCAAAAGAATAGAGAGGTCCTGGGGAGTATTCCTAAATTTTGTATCTCCAGAAAGAAGTCAAGGGCCTCGCCAAGAAAAAAAAGCACCCTATCAAACCCCCTACACACACCCAAAGAAGCTGAAAAAGAAATAAGCATTACTGTTTAAATCCAAAGTTTTCTATGATTATTGTCTCAAGAATACAGTATTGGATTACTTTGATTTTTAAAACTTTTAAAAATAAATGCTTTTCTACATTAGAAAACAAATTACCTAAATTTTAAACAAAAAGGGCCTAACTACAACTACCCAATATAAAATAACCTTGAGAGCAAGCATCACCAACCACAGAGACCCTATGTTTACAGATTACAACAATCAAGTCTTATCTAACAAAACAAACCTAAAAGTTGTTGTTCCTTTAAAATACAATTAAAATCTGGGGTCAAACAAAATCTAACGGATACAGAGACAATGGTTACAGTGTATCCTTACTAGAAATGGAAGAGTACTGGCAGTGTTTGAAGGAAAAAAAACACTAGTTATTTACCTTCTCACCTTAATAAAAGTTTACAAGTAAACTAAGGTTTACTCGTTCTAGCTTCCAGAATTTTCCTCAGCAGGACAAGTCACCTAACAAAGAGTGTTCTGCAGGTTTAACCATAAAAATAACACGTGTAAGGCAGGGAAAAAAAAAAAAAAAAGCAGGCAAAAATTTAACAAAAGTCAAATACTAATGTTCTGAATAAGGCTTGCAGGAAAAGATCCAAGAACCTGTCAAATACTTCACTAACAAGAGTCATATAGATGGAAAGACCAAAAACCTCACCCTATCACAAAAGTTCTAATAATACTTAACTATCACTCTTCCATGTACAGCCACCAATCAAATACTTATTTCATATACCCTTAAGTGAGGCTGTTATCAAACACAACCATCTTTTAAAAAAAAGAATCTTTGTAACAACTGTTCCCTAAACTCCAAGTAGTTAACACTTAACCTCCTCAAATCATGAGATCACTAACATATACATCAAATATGCTAAAGGTCAAAGGAACTGAAAAGTCTGCTGAATAAACCTAAAGGAAATCCTATTCACAATTCCATGACTGAGGATAGTTATCTCTCCATTTATAATACATTTTTAAATTCTCAAGGGACAAGCATTTTTACCTTGCCTTATTTTTAGAATTACACATCACACTGCACATATCATATGACATGATGTAACTGTTAGCAAAGAAAATGACCCAAACCATTGAAAACATACATGATAAAAGGAAATGAATGGATGTATACTCAGGAGTCACAACATTTCATATTTACATTTTTTAAAAGTCTAGTAACCTAGGCAAAATTAACAGAAATGTACTTTATTTTATAACAGGAATTTATCAAATTATGGGGAAACATGACATGAAAAAAAAGCAGATTATAGAATAATTCTTCTAAAGCTACAGAATTTAAAAAAACTCAAAAATGAAACAAATACTAATAAAATATATAAGAAACAGTTATTACTCAAAAGTATCCACTGTTGTCCTGACAAGACCTGCAGACAATTGAAATTTTCTAAATTGGTAAGACAATCTAAAAGGAAAAGTACAGCCTATAGAAGAGGGGGAGGGGAAACACACCCACTTAGGCCTTTGTAAATAGGAGTACTTTAAATTTCTCAAAAAGCAGTAAATATACAAACTTCAGACCATTTTGAGAAAGAAAAAAATATATTCTAATGTATTACTTTTTTTACTTGAAAGTACTTTTGACACAAAGTTCAGTAACAATCTATATCATGATTATGCAAGGCAAAGATTATGTAATTTCATCGTGTATTTTAAAATGTTCTCCGACTATATAATTAGAAAAAAACGAAAACGTTTTGAACTAATGAAGACAGAAAAGGTTCCTCTCAGCTACAATTTAAAATATAAACATACACCCCCAAAACAAACAAAAAAAACACAATGATTGCTAGCCACGTGACAAAGGAGATGGCAACACCAGGATTGTGAATGGAGGGGAGGGAGGCGAGGTTGGAAGACTAGCGAGATTTCTCGGAACTTTGGGGACCGCGGGATTCGGGTCTCCAACATTTGAATGTACCAACTCTAGCCCCTACGAGCTGTACGGCTAACACCCTCAAGTGCAGTTTTATTAATAGGTCATGGAAAATGCTTCAGTGACCTCCAAGATAAAGGAGGAAAACAGTAGAGGAAAGAGAGCAATTTAAAGTGGCGCCATCATGTCACCCCTTCTCCCCTAAGGCAATCAATAAGCAATAGTTAAGGAACGTGTTTCTCTAAAAATCCACATTGGAATTCCAACATTGGAAAACAAAAAGATTTTTAAGTAAAACATGAAAGTAGTGTTGTTTATAATATGAACAATGAAACTATTTACTGAGAATCAAAAGACCATCGGCCGGAAAACCGGCCCCCCAAAAGGCAGTTAAGACTTCAACTCACTTAAAAGCAAATAAATGCCTCTTCCTCTTTAGTTAAAAAAAACCCCACGTCTGCCTAAGGGAGACTAAATCTGAAAAGGTTGTATGACCTCAATTTACAGACAAGAAAAAAAAATGAAACAATCAAGAGTTGTGATACAAACCATGAAACGCGCAAGATGTGTGCTGGGGCAAAGAAAGGCCTTTTGCAGTCAAGAGAAGTTCAAGACAAGAGCCAGAGTTTGTTTTGGGTTTTACGGGAATAAACCATGTTCTCCAGGCCGCCTTTTTAAATAGAACGCCAAAGGAAAGCCCGGCGAACGAGGCGGCAGCTGGTGGGGAAGGGCCCCCGCACGCCCCCGCCCTTGGGGCGACTCCCAGCCCGGACCCGCAGCGGGGAAGCCCGGGGAGGCCATTTAAAGTTCCGGGGATTTTTTCCTCTCCTGCCCTGCCTTTCTAGTTACAACTAACAAAGAGAGGGAGAAATGGGAGCCACGGGGAGAGCGAGGAGAAGGAGAAAGGGCAGCGGGAGGAGGAGGAGGAGAGGAGCAGCAGCAGCACCTACCACGTGATGGAGGAGCGTAGCCCGGGCGGATTCGGCCCCACAAAATGGGCGCAGTTTGCAAACAGCCCCCCGGCCTGGGCGCCGAGGGCCAGCAGGCGGGGGCGCGCGGCGGCGACGGCGGCCCGACCCGCCGCTCTCCTCCCCCCCGGCGCCCGGAGCCGCCCTGACTTCACGGGCGGGGGGGGGGGAGTGAGGCGGAGGGGGAGGGGAAGGCGGCGGCGACGGGGAGCGGCCGCTTTTTCTTCTCTTTCGGCCCCTTTCTCCGGCCTTCCTCCGCTCCGGCTGGGCCTGGGCACGGCCAGGGACCGCAGCCCGGCCGGGCGGGCGGGGGCAGAGAGTGAAGCCGCCCCCCCGCCCCGCACAAACAAGCGCCACCGTCTGCAGCCCAAGCCCGCACCCCAGCCGCCACCCCACGGGCGCCTCTTCTCGGCCCGGGAGCGCGCTCCGGACGCCCCCCGCGCCGCCGCGGCAAGAAGAGTCGGCTTCGCTACGGCGCTCGGTTCTCCCGCCGGCTCGGCGAGCGGTGGCGGCGGTGGCGGCGGCACTGGGAAAATGGCGGCCGAGCTCCTTTTCCCTCCCCCCCCTTTAATCTGAAGCGGAGGGAGAATGGAGCGAGCGAGCGAGCGGGCGAGCGCCGGGGACACGGGGAGGAGGGACAGCAGCGCCTCCGCCGGCTGCGGCTGCGGCGGCGAAGGGCCGCTCCGCCCCGGCGCGCCGCCAGGGGGCGCCCGCCGCGCCGCCCCCGCTGGCTGCCAGGAGGCGCGGCCGCCGCCGCCTCAGTCATGGCTCCTCGCCGCGGCCGCTGTTCCAGCAACCTCTGTCTGCGGAAGCTGCGACGCAAGGTCCAGCCGCCTCGGACATGCGGCGGCGGCACGCGGCACTGCGACAGGCGGAGCGGGGCCCTAAGTGAGGCTAACCTGAGGCGCTGACGCCGTCACATTCCCTCCGCGCTGGGGCTGGCGGTGCCGCGCGCCGGTTTGAGGGGCAGGGCGGGTTGGCGCGACGGAGCGAGAGGACGTGAACGAGGAACTGTGTGCACTGTGTAGTGAAGAGGCTAAGGCCGTCACTGCCACACTATCCCAGGACCAACAGAGCGCTGAGCCCGGCAGGAAGCTAGCTCCCTAGCCGGCCGGTCGAAGCGGCTTCTGCCACCCGCCCTTTGTCCTACAGCCTGCCTCCATACACTGCAGCACGGCGGGGGCATTAGCCCCAGCGCCGCGATCCGCAGCAGCCAGACCAAAAAAAAAAAAAAAAAAAAGAAAACCGCATGTCATTGCGCAGGCGCGAGCCAGGGCCCGCGCCGGGCCAGCCCGGGCAGGGGCAGCCGGGAGCCAAAGGGGAAGTGCTGGCCCACCAGCGCCGGGCCCGCTGGGAGCTGTAGTTTTCGTTAGAAAGCACGGGTCTTGTTCTAGGAGTCACAGGTTCGGAAAATCCGCCAAAACAGGCAGAAGGCATTACCCAATGAGTATTTATGCTTCCTGCTGCCACCAGAGTTCACTGCTACGATAAAAGTTTAACAAAGAACTACACAGAAACACATCTCAAAAAAATTCAAAAAAGCAAACTTTCCACTTTCCTACCAGAGTTGGCTTGAAGTGGTGGCACCTTATCATTTCTCATAACCAGTTTGTCAACAAGGTATTTTATGCCTTTCCCAAAATAAGCCCTAATATAATGGAACTTTTTCCAGAAATATAATGCACAGGGTCACATTTACACAAAGTTGAGATTCCATCGTCCCTTTAAAGCGAAAGAAAAAGTTGCCAAATGATGCTAGGACTCAAAAACTAGTGTAAATAGTTTAAGAGAAAAAAAAAATATGGTACCAACAATTAAGTCATCAAATTCACCAAAAAGGAAGATACAAAATATTCAATATTTTTTGTGGTTTACCAAAACCAATATCCGGTGTTAGTGTCACTTGTGCTCCTCAAAAAAAACAAAAAACACACCCTCTGTACCGCCACAGAACCATTTTAGTCACCCCACAAAGTTGCACTAACCCACCAGCTCCTACAGCATCAGCACCTATATTTCTGAGTTTCCATTTGTACTCTTAAAAAAAAAATCACTCTCAAGCATAGTCATGGTTCTCAAATATCAAACGCAGGCAGTTTAGAGTCATAGTGTCAAATTACACAAAGAATAAACTAATATGTACACATATTTAAATACACATCCCAAAAATATTCTTGCTTTTAGATTTTTAATTAATAATTCTAGGGAAGAAAATTTAGTTGATTTTAAAATATATACACACATAGCTCCCATAAATTATAATCCCACAAATACAGCAGGATGTTAATACACAATTCCATTTCCAATAGATGGCGACCTAGAGCCCTAATCTGAACATTCTGAAATCTAAATTAGCAGAAAGAAAAACACCAAATAAGGAAAAGCCTTTTGCAATGTATACTTGAGTATTATATTCAAAAACACATCACAAAATAATCTAACTACTATTCTAACTCTTAAAAAACTCAACTGTCAAATTTAACTAGGTCCCCAAATAATCAAGGTTAAGAAATATATTTTTCCAGTAGATTACAAGGAGGAATATGCTCATTTTAAAAACCAAGCATTTGAGATAAAAATAAACTCCAACTTTCTCTTACTATTAGCCCAAGATCCAGGAATTCACAGTGTTTATGTTATTTAAATCAGTCAACCTGTTTTACATTTTTATCTAAAATCACATGTCTTTCTGCCTAGGCACCAAGTTTACAAATAGAGTACACAAAGATGAGCAACTATGGACACAAAAGTCTTAAAGAAACACCTTTTCTTAAAATTTCTCCTAGAGAGACAATTAAGAAACATCCACATGTATACCCTCACTTTTCAAAACACTCTTGGAATAATCATGGTTGACTGTCCAATATCCACCCTATCCTGGTTAGTTCAAACTCATTCCCTTTAACAGTGATTATTTAGAAATGGGCATAAGATCTGAGTGGAAGCCACCTGGGAAGCCTTCAAGATAGAAATGTGAGAAAATTTTCCTCAATCCTAAAGATGAGATGAAAGAAAAAACAGTCATTCTTTCTTAGACAGTGACACCTTAAACTGTTAAAATCATCCTACACCAAGCCTAAGATGCCACCAACATAAACAGAAACAAAATAGAGCACTGTTACGAAACGTGGTCCTTGATGACAGTATCAAACCATTATATCAACCAATCCTGACATCTGCAAGACATCTGGACATCCAGCTCCATTAGAACAATGTCACAAACACTTCTTGATTATTTAAACCAATCTGAGTTAGGCTTCTTATACCTGAAGTCAAAAACATGATGATTGCCAGGCACTGGTGGCTCACACCTGTAATCCTAGCTACTCAGGAGGCAGAGATCAGGAGGACCAGGGTTTGAAGCCAGACCCAGGCAAACAGTTTGAGAGACCCTACCTAGGAAAAAAACATCACAAAAAGGGGCTGGTGGGGTGGGTCAAGGTGTTGGCTCTGAGTTCAAACCCTAGTACCACCAAAAAAATAAATAAATAAAGTAATGATTAATTTCTATTTTAGAGTATTATACTAAATTATGATTATTTACATTATCATATTTTTATAACTAGTTTATTGTTTAATCCTCAGAGCTGTCCCTCCTATAAACTCTGTGCCCCACACACCCATGTCTTTACCTGTGTTCTCTCTACCTAGAAAAAAGACCATCTCCCCTCATTACTTTGTTCATTCCTCTTCCCCATCTACCTTGAACTCATTTTATACATTCTACCATACCACTATTATCATTTATTTCACTTAATAATGTTATTAAATGGCACTTTACTAACCTTGGTTAAATGTTTCCTGTAATTCCTCTCAGGTTATTTTCATTTTTTCTCTAGTGGTATGGGGTTTGAACTCAGGGCCTCACACTTGCTAGGAAGGAGCTCTACAGCTTGAGGCATGCCACCAGCTCAGGTTATTTTCAAATACCAGTCTTACCCTTCCAAGCCAGCCTGGAAGCCCTCAAAGGCAGGAACTATGGTTATTCCCATTTCAGATCTACTATTCTCATCTATACAATAAATACATTCCATAAAAGGCACTTTTTCTAACTTCCCTGCTAATAAGCCAAAAATTCCTAAAGAGACTATTATATTCCTAAAGAGAATATTACATTCTATAATAAACTCGGGATCTCATGTATCCTCAAAAAGACAAGCTATCAGGCTGAGGGAAGGTGGTTCACGCCCGTAATCCTAGCTACTCCAAAAGCGGAGATTAGGAGGACTGTTGTTCAAAGCCAACTGGGGAGCAAAGTTCAGAAGATCCCATCTCAACCAATTAAAAAAAAATTTGGGTGTCATGATGCACACCTGTCATCCCAGCTACAAAGTAAGTATAAATGGGAGGAGGATGGTCCAGACTGGCCTGGGCATAAACACAAGACATTATTGAAATATAACTAAAAGCAAAAAGAGCTGGCAAAGTGGCTGAAATGGTAGAGCACCTCCCTAGCAAGCACAAAGCCCTCAGTTCAAACCCCGGTAGCACCAAAAAAAAAAAAAAAAAAAAAAGACAACCTATTACCTTTTTCTTTTTTTTTTTCTGCAGTTAAAAAGAGCAATTATTATATTAACTCAGAACAAAGCCCTGCAGCCTAGAGTATTAAGTTTCAAAGGACAGTCTTTGATATTTACCACTGCATCCCTGGGACCTTGTCCAGAACCTGGCACAAAGCAGACACTTCATTAAGAATTTGCCGAACACATGTAATGGAGAGGGTGAACGTGTTCCAACTACACTGTACACATATATAAAATTCTCACAATGAAATCCCCTTGTATTATTAAATATGCTAATTCAAAAATAAAATTTTAAAAATTATCTGAACACATGGAAAAGGTAAAGTATATTAATTTAGGATCCAGGGGTCACCCTAGGGTTTAACCTGCTTCCATCACTTACCAGCTGGGCAAAGACTTACTCTGTGCTCTGTAAAATGTAAATTCAACTATTTATTAGTGAATTAAGCTAGCTTTCATAGTTCTAAAATTAAAAGATTAAAATGCAAGTCAACTGCCTAGCACGGCCCTGAGTTCAAGCCCTGATACTACCACCACCAAAAAAAAAAAAAGTGGGGCAAAGATCAGCACCTCTTCCCTAATTCGTACTTCAAATCTGTAAGTACACGTCACCAATGTTTTCATTCATAAATTGAGATAGCACTACACATGAAAATATTGTGAGCTCCCTAAAAACATATTTTAATTCTGAGAAAGATTATTTATAATAAAATAATATAAAGATTATTTATAATAAAATATAAAGATTATAATAAAATAAAAAGATTATAATAAAATAATCTTTCTGAGAAAGATTATTTATTATTTATAATAAAATTAAGATAACTGGGGATGTGGCTCAAGTGGTAAAGTAGTTGCCTAGCAAGTGCAAGGCCCTGAGTTCAAACCCCAGTTTTACTAAAATAAGAAAAGAAAAAATTAAAATGCATTTAATTTACCAAAATCTGGTACCTATTAACCTTAAGACCCTATTCCAGATATCTCAGAAATTAATATGTCAATCTATTTAAAATTCAATATTAAAATCATATCGTGGTCTCAGGCATAATGGTACACACCTATAATCCCAGCACCTGGAAAGCAGTAGCACAAGGATAGCAAGGTCCAGGCCAGCTTGGGCTACATAGTGAGTGAGATCCTGTCTTAAAAATCAAGGGCTGAGAACTGGTGGAGTGGCTCAAGTGGCAGAGCATCTGTGTATCAAGTATGAGTTCAAACCCCAAACCCACCAAAAAAAAAGTCTCTAAATTGAATTGATACATGCTCTTATGTTAATATTTAACTAGCTAAACATTAAACAAGAAGCCAGAATAAACTGAATCAAAGTAAGAAATTTAAATCAAAGATCAGATGTTAAAGAAATACAACTAACACATTGTATCAGTATGAAAATGAGGCCAACAGAAGCCAACACAGCCTCAAAACTGAAGAACACACTGGGATCAGGGTCAGGGTCACAATCTCCCATTTTCACTTTTCCCTCTACATCACTTGGTGAGAAAGAAGTACATGATAAACCCAACAATACTACCTACCTATTTCCCAATTTCACAAATATCAAGAGCTGCCCACATGCAAGAAAAAGAAAATCCTCATAAGGATGACAATGACTACAAGACTCAGAAATCAAATATTTTTTCGTTAAA